TGTGTTCCATAATGTGTTTTTTTTTTTTTTTTTTTTCCTCCTCCAAATACTTCGTTGGAGTGAAATGCAAAGGCTTTAGTATGAGGCGTGATGTTGGACTCCTCAGCAGGGGAAAGAATTCGGCAAGGGCTTCCTTGAGGAAGGGCTTTGGGGTTTTGTTTTTGTTTCTAAAATCTGGTTCGCATTGAGCGGCCTGGCTGTTCCGATTTCCCTTGTCTGAACTCGCATTGTATGAACTATACCCTACATACGCGTTTGTTTAAATAGCGCTTGAATTTCAGCCACCGTCGCTGCGGTGTTTTGCCATTGTTAACATAACAAGAGACTGGAGAGTCCTGCGCTGGCCTCCCCAAAGCTGCAGTCGGTTCAAATCCATGGCTGGAGCTTATGCGGAACTTGGATCTAGAGAGGTCCAAAACTCTGGTGTCTCTGAAGGAAGACAGGGGGAATTGGTTCAGACCTGTAGAGAACCTCTTGTTAATTCTTAAAAATGAATTGGAGAGACAACAGGGGTGAAATGACTCTTTGGGACGGCACCCAAGGAGGAAAGCTCATGAGAGGCAATTCTTCAAGGGAGTGGGAAGAGGCAATGTCTGACATCCCCAGGTAACTGGTTACTGGAGGGTAACTGGTGGAGCACCCCCAGCTGCAGCAAGGTGTTGTAGGAACCCACAAAGCAGCAGTGCCCCCAACCAAGGTGTGCAAACTCCACCGGCAGAAAGCGGGAGCAGCCTCGGCCCATGGTAGGATCTCAGGCCGAATTCCTAGCGCATCCCACTGCAGGGGCCCAGAGCGTGCACGGTACAGGTGGTGTAAAGTTGTCACTGGTAACATTACCATCTAATAGCCGCCGCAGCATGGAAATATCAACCATCTGTGCCAAAGCGTCAAAGGAAAGCTTGCTGGCAAAATGCATTAAAGTGTCTATTTATGTAAACAGTCGAGGCTGGAGAACATGGGAGCCTTCCTAATCAGTGTCAGAGGATGTGAAATTTTCAGGTATCCAGGATGATCGAGAGGGGAGATGAAGGGTCAGTGACTGCAGCAGCATTAGAAAACCTGCCGGCGTGGAGGAACCATTAGGCTCCAGGTCCAAGCATTAATAATAGTCACCCAAATGGTATTTATGTACTTCTGCTTCTGCCTGAATTCAGTGTGCAGGGAAGAAGGT